AATTAATTTTTATTTTTATTTATTATTATTATTATTATTATTTTAGGAGTATTCGTGGAATTCACTACCAGATCTCTTCCGAAATATCTTACCTCCAGGTTATAACTACCTAGTTCAACAATTTACTGAATTTTCTCCATATCGAACTGAAGAAGGTTTTGAGATACCTCAGTTGGAAGTTAAGGTATTTGTTAATGTCGTCACTATAGAAGATATTAAAGTGTGGTTTGTTGCTTTTGAAGGGTATTCAAAAACAACAATGCCACAAACAAAAGGGTATGTAGTTAAGGGAAAGCGAGTAATTTTCAGAGAGTTACGGCATTGCATTCATAGTAAAAAGGTTAAAGATAAGCAGGGAAATCCTAAAATCAAACGAGTGCAATCAATGCATAATAGAAATACGAATTATTTGTCGATTATGAATCTAAAATTAGAACATTGTAATATGTCTAATAATTACCCTTTAGAAATTAACCTTGTTTTTAAACATAACTATGTTATCAAATCAGCTGAAGCACTTAGCTATCGTCGTATTCAAGAAAAAACAGTTACAAAATACATGCAATTATTTTATGATGGTCATTCTTCAGCAACTGCTTTGCATACTTATGAAGATGAACTTCATGTTTCTATTTCATCAAGTAAAGACCTTATTAAAGCTCTTGCTGATCGTTCTGTTAATCCAGACTATGATTATGTTAAAAACCTTTTTACTCGTTATCGTAATTCTCAACTTGGTGAAAGAAATAGAATATTAATGTTTCAACGTCTAAATGAGGAAGTTGAGAATTACAATACTTCTGGTCGTAGTCAGGCAGTTTTTCAGGAATATGATTTTCAAAGTGGTAAATCATTCATTCTTTGTGTTGTCACAGAGTTAATGAATCAGGTACATGACATATTTTGCAAGCAGGGGAAATTTGTTATATGGATGCTTCTGCATCATTTGAACAATTAAATACTTCCATTACACTTCTTTATACCAGTTGTATTACAAGCACTTTGCCATTAGGTTTATTTATAACATCTGATGAGCGCAAAATTACAATTGCAAAGGCAATAAACCTTTTAAAAACTATTTTACCAAAACATGCATTTTTTGGTCGTGGTTGTGATGTTGGGCCACAAACTTTTTTGACAGATGATTCGGCAGCAGAACGAAATGCATTAACATGATGTTGGCCACAATTAAATCAACTTTTATGTACGTTTCACTTCCTCCAAGCATTTTGGAGATGGCTCTATAATGCTAAACATAATATTAACAAGGAGTATCGTATATTAATCATGAATAAAATAAAAAAAGTTCTTTATGCACAAACAATATCTGAAATGAATATTCATTATTATGAACTAAGAAATGATTATCAACAGTATCCATTACTTATAAGGTATCTTGAACTTCTTTGGAACCGTCGGCAGCATTGGGCACATTCATTTCGGTCTAATCTTTTATTACGTGGCAATCATACTAATAATTACATAGAGCGTAGTTTTGGACTACTTAAAGATATAATTTTTGGAAGGACTCAAGCATTCAATCCAGTTCAGGTTTTTCAATTTATTATAGGAAATATGGAAAGATTCTATGAACGTCAGTTGCTTGGGTTTGCACATAATCACCCAGGTCATATAAAAATTGCAAAAAGATTTTTTTGTCCAGGGTGGGAAAATATTGATGCAGATTCAATTAAAAAATTAGTCAATAATGATGAATATCAGGTTCCAAATGAAAAAAAAGATATTACCTATATTGTTAATAGTGCAATCGGAACTTGTAGTTGCCCTGTTGGGCTAACAGGAGCACCTTGTAAACATCAAGGTGCAGTGGCAGCAAAATATCACATTGGAGCAATAAATTTTCTACCTTCATTGAGTGCTAATGATCATGAAACCTATTTTTATATTGCAATTGGTAAGTAATAATAATAATAATTTTTTATTTTTAAGGTCTGGCGATCTTAGTGTTGTGGTTAGGTTGTCAGACCGCCATGCAAGAGGTCTGGGGTTCAAATCCCACTGTTGACAAATTTGAATAATTACCCAGATCTTTATACCT